GTGCTCACCATTGTTGAGTGAATAATGTATTCCAACATTTTCTTTTAACATTTAAAAAAAAGTCTTACCTACCAAACGGGGGGTTATTTGAAATAAAGTGACAATATTCTCAATATTACTTCCAGCCTAGGTAGAGTTCTACCTACAAAGTAGGTCTAGCCTGTCATGCCTTTGTAAGGGGTCTTCCATGCCCTCAGGACACGGACGCCAGGTGCTGCAGTGACAGCGACCCTGGGAGCAGCCTGAGGCTGACCTGTGCCCTGCAGGGAGGCTCCGTATCCTCACGATCTGGCCTGGGCAAGCTAACACACTTCTCTGCCACCCAGTGGGCTCCTGCTACTGGACCCTGGCTGCTGAGGTTGTCAGTACAGGAGACTGGACACTAGCTGATAACAGTTGCCAATATAGAATAAAAGTGGACGTTAACTACTTATGGTTCTGAATTTTGACCAGATTCGAAGATATTTATTAAAAGTAACATGTTCTATGTCATGATGGTTTTTGTTTGTTTGTTTTTTTATCCTCAACCGAGGACATTTTTGCATTTACCTTGAAATAGAGCAGGAGAGAGAGGAAGAGAGAAACATTGATGTGAGAGAGGTACATCAACTGGCCGCCACCCACACGACCCCAACCAGGGCTGGGGACAAACCGCAACTGAGGTACGAGCCCTTAGTGGGAACCGAACCCAGGTCTCTCTGGTCTGCAGGCCGACGCTCTAACAGCTGAGCCAAACTGGCCAGGGCCTATGTCATGATTTTATCCTTAGAGGAATTAAGCCCCCAATTTTTTAAAGCTTCTATTTTTTCAAGCCTGCCGCTCAAAGGCAGAAGTTGTTAACACTGAACTTCAGGATTTCTGGTTAACAGTTGTCCATAATGGAAACAAAACCCCCCAGCTCTCTGCATACAATTACCATGAAGGCACAACGAGAACCAATAGAGAGCACACGGACTGATTTAGGAGTGGCCCTGCAGTCAGCACACCAGTGATGCCAGTGAAGAGCAGGACCTGCAGGTATTTCAAGTGGAAAATGCTACGTTAACACAGAGCTGTCTCAGCAGCAGTAATCAAGCTCAGGAAGCTGCTCGCTGCAAAGGAGCGTTTGGATTTTGGCACTGCACAGACCTAGCCTCAAATCCCAGGTGTTTGGCACTTCTGAGCTGTGTGCCTTTGGCCAAATTACATAACCCGAGTTTGTTTCCTTACCCTGCCTTGCAATGCTGATTGTATGGGAGGATATATGTACCTCATAAAATTCATCTCAATTATAAACACAAAAAGCAAACACCACTCTGTTTTTCCTTCTGTTTCCTCATTTTATAGGTAGGACAATATTGAGGCAGAAATAAGGTTTTTACTGAGAGCACAGTAATTTATAGATGTAGTTGACAAGGCTTAAAATACTCGTTAAGTATGCAAATTTGGGAAACAAAGTAGGTACTAAATGCCAGTAGTTCTATCGAGGACAGTAATTTGTTAAGCACCATCCTGTAACTTCCTGGTAAATGCCATTCCCTATCAAACAGACTGCTGATGAGCTGCTGATGAAAAGTGTAGAGTATGTGCATTTGTGATTTAAAAAGTAACGTCATCGATTTATATTAATACTTCATGCTTGAGAAACTGCTATGTCTAATAGGTAATCTGACCACAATAGCCCTATCTTTAAAATACCTTTTATTATTCTTATTTTTTGTTAATCTTCACCCAAGGATATTTTTTTCCAATGATCTTTCAATGAGAGTGGATGAAAGGGAGGGAGAGAGAAACATCAATGTGAGAGACTCATCGATTGGTTGCCTCCTGCAAACACCCCCACTGGGGCCCGGGATTGAACCTGCAATCCAGGTATGTGCCCTTGACCGGGAATCGAACCCGAGACCCTCTGGTGCATGGGTCAATGCTCTAACCACTGAGCTACACTGACCAGGGCTAAGACACCTGTATTTTAGTGATAGGAGTAATAAAAAATTTTCATAAACTAAGAAACTTCAGAAAAAAAATAAATTATTTTAGCCCTGACGGGTGGCTCAGTTGGTTGGAGCGTCGTTCTGTGCACCAAAAGGTTGCAGGTTTGATTCCTGGTCAGAGTACATACCTGGGTTGAGGGTTCAACGCCTATTTGGGGTGTGTATATGAGGCAACTGATTGATGTTTCTTTCTCTCTCTCACAAATCAGTGAAAACATATCTTCAGGTGAGGATTAAAAAAACATTTTAGGTATGGAAAAAGAAAAATCATAACTAATGATTTTGCTAATAATTTCTCAACATTTAATAAAAGTCCAAATTTCCCTTAACTGTGCCTATTACAGATAGTAGAGGTTAAATTAGAGGTTTCAAAAATAGTCACTTTGCTAGAAAGAAAAAGCCTGCTAGGATTTATTACAGAAACTATAAGGAAGTAATAAAATGTGAAAGTAAACATCATATGATAAAGAAATAAAAGATAGCCACTCACTGAGGCTGATAGTTTTTCAGAAGACTTCTTTATACCTTGTAATTTCAATTAAATGGTGTTTTCACAATTACAAGTCTAGACAAACCATATCTTCCCTTCTAACCCTGCTTGCCCCCATCTCTTGCAATCAGTGGAGACACTAGAACATACATTTTTTAAATCCACAAACTATTTTAAATAATTTCATTGGAAGACTATCACTTTTTCAATTTATGGAAGTTTAAATGTCTTCTGAAATATTTTATTTGCTGTACACAACTTCACTTGTACACTGGTGAGGGGCCATGGGCACGGCTTGGACAGGGCACCGCCATCGCCACGGCTGCATGAACCGACAGCACACCCACCCGCACATTCACAACCACAGCAACTGACATGTCCAATATCCTTCACTCCGGCCTTCTCTGAAGCCACTTGACCTAGTGCGGAATCGTAACAATTCATGCCTCCAGGCAGCAAAAGGTCTAGCTCACCGGTTCTCAACCTGTGGGTCTCAGCCCCTTTGGGGGTCGAAGGACCCTTTCACAGGGGTTGCCTAAGACCATCAGAAAACACTTATTTCCAATGGCAAATTGTAACAGTAGCAAAATTACAGTTATAAAGTAGCAGCAAAAATAATTTATGGTTGGGGGTCACCACATGAGGAACTCTATTAGAGGGTCGCGGCATCAGGAAGGTTCCTGAGGGCTGTCTTCCCTGTTTTGACCGACCCTGTAATTGTGAACAGACTTATCTTGTATTTATTTATTCTTTTGTTAATCCTCACGGAGGATATTTTTCCCACGGACTTTTTTTAAGAGTGTGGAAGGGGGTAGGGGGAGAGACAGAGACATGATGTGAGAGACACATCGATTGGTTGTCTCCCACACGTGCCCCAACTGGGGCTGGGGATTGAACCTGCAACCCCAGTATGTGCCCTTGACCAGGAATCAAATCTAAGACCCTTTGGTGCCCGGGCTGGCACTGCAGCCACTGAGCCACACCAGCCAGGGCCAGACTAATCGTAAAGTAATTTTGCATTGTTATTTCTTTCTTCAAAGACCAACAAATGCTTCCCATTAGTAACATCACATTTAAATTACTGGTTCATTCTTACCTGCCACATATTTGGTACTTTCATTTAGTCACTTTGCCTGAGACAAAGTCCATCATAATGCAATGTGTAATGAGGACACACGTCCCTTGAAAACTAAGATTTAAATGCCACCTTTACTTTTATCCCACACTCTAAGTACAATATATTAACTCACAGCACCACCTACCTTTCAATAAAAGGTTAGGTTTACTTTTAGCATAATGCCCAAATGGCTGACTATACAAGGCAGAATGAAGTCCAAAATGTACAAAAGAAGAAAAATAAAAAAATAAAAAAAAAATAAAAAAGTTCCATTTGATACTATATATAAAATATTTATACCACTACATATAAATTTCTTAGTATTATTCCAAACAAAAGAGTCTGGCCAGCAGTATACTAATAACTTTAACCCGTCACAAAACAGTCAGTGAACACAGTGCGCCTGTAATGTTAACTGGAAGTCACCATCAGGGAGGGGTGGGGCTGCTCTGAGGTCTAGATCTGATATTCATGGAGAGTTTCCTGCCTAAGTATTCACTGGCATGTGTTGCCTCTTCCTTAGAAGTCCTCTCAATATTTTAGTCATGTTCCCTGTTTAAGTGAGGAAAAAGATGACCGGATATACAACTGCATTTTTATGTCCTCTCAGAGATACCCATCGGTACGACAAATCTACACACGTGGGACGGAGCCTGCTCGGTGGCACGATCCCAACCAACGACACCACAGTCCTTTCTCAAATCAGTGTGATCTTGGACTTCAGGCTGAAATCGGATTCTTGTTTCTACAGAAATTGCAACTGCCTTACGTAACACTAAGCACAGGACAGGAGTGGTACATACTCTTTAGTCACACAGTGAGCGTTTGCACCAGCAGCCGAGCAGTCAGTCAAACCAGAAGAAGCAACTGTGATGATGTGAGAAGCCTGGCGGTGTCCACGAGAACTGAAACGTCATAGATTTACACAGCATTTCTCCTGTGCGGTTCACAGCAACCCCAGGAAGGCTGGGCAGGGCCCCCACCACCGCACCTGCAGGGAGACAGGTGCGCCAGGATGTGCGCCCCCGTCCGCGGGAAACTCAACCCCAGGCCGAGGGCTGCTATGGCAGTCTCATGCCCTGTCCTTAGACATAAAAGTTAGAAAGGACAAAACAATTTCAGTTAAAACTGACTGAAAATCATTTAACATATACACGTTATTTTAAAAGTAGCATTTGGCTACAACTTTCAGTAAAGCTGTTACTATAACAAAAGTTTTGAAACCATTTTTAAAAAATTTTTTATTTTGTTCTTTATTGATTTTAGAGACAGAGGGAGAAGAAGAGATAGAAACATCGATGAGATAGAACATCGATTGGCCGCCTCCTGCATGCCCCCCACTGGGGATCGGGCCCACAACCTGGGCATGTGCACTGACCAGGAATTGAACCAACGACCTCTTGGTGCACGGGTCGACGCTCAGCCACTGAGCCTCATGGGCCAGGCTTGAAAACTATTTTTAAAAGCAGCTTGTTAAAACTGACTATCTGGATTAAGCATTTTCTTAACAACTGAGTGAAGTTCTAATTTTCTGGAAGGCTCTTTTCTTACAGCGTGAGTAGTTCATCAAGTCAACTTTACAACTTGTACCAGTCTTTCTTCAGGTGATTCCCGACAGCAGACAGTGACACGAGTCTTTCCGTGACTGGATAAAGTGGCATCCATTCCAGGTACAGCGATCTCGCCAGTTGTAGCAGAGTTGTTAAAAGAAAGAAACTCTTCTGACCTTTGCCATAATTAGTGACAATTTTGAATCATCAATGGAATAACAAAGGTAGCTCTCACCTGCCTCACAAGCTTCCTTTTCCACTCTCTGTTCCATACCCATTATTTGCCTAATGCCGTATTAATTTTAAATTCTTCCCTTCTTCCTGTAGAATCCCCTTTAATCTTTTCCAGGGAAATTACTAATCTACTTCAAGGTTTCACTAAACTTCTGTGTCCTAACATTTAAAATACAACAGAAATTTTTATATTTTCTCACATCTTATTGCACAATATAAATCTGATTAAAAATGCATTAAGAAACAACACTTTGTGTTCAAATCAACACTAATTTAAAATGTTTGGTAGGAAACAGCATCACTTATTTTAATATATTCCAACTTAGTAGGAAGGTGAGCAGTTATTTCTGAGGTTTAGATATTTAAACTATAGTTTACCATCAAAACAAACAACTATTTTGGTCTTTCTTCATTTATGATTTTTTAATTCTTCCTTTTTAGAAGTTCACAGTGTCACAGGAGTAAAAAACAGGACTGATAGAAAGCACTCTAAAAGGAATGGCTATATACATAAAAATTCAATAATGTTGCGGAACCCCTACTACAATGTGATCCTTATTTATTTACTGTTATACAGAAGAAACTCCTGTACATATTAATCATTCAAGTATATCTAGAGCAGTGCTTATAAAAGTGAGGTCCCACTGCTAAATTAATGGGTGTTTCTTTGAAGACCACATCCAATGTCAATACAATTAAGTAGAACTGTAACAATGTTTTGAGCTTACAATTTATTATATATCCCCAAATATTCTAAAACGCTCCAAAGAACCAAACACACAATTTACATCTAGTTTAACACCCCCTTTGTACAGCACCAAGGTTAAAAATGAATCTAACTATTCTCTTTCTTTAATTATTACAGTTTGTTATTATTTATTTTTACAACATGGAACCCCCACTGAAAATGAAGACAACTCAGGTCAAATTCCTTTACCTTAAATAAATAAACATTTCTTCCACTTCACACTTAAATACTTATTTTTTTTCATAGAGAACATATTTCTGGGTAACAACTCTATCTTTGAGAACCACTAGGCAAGTCGAATAGGATTCTCTAGGTTCGCTTTAAAACTCTCAAGAAACCTGGTAGCTAGTTCGTCATCGACAACTCGGCCGTCACTCGACATTGTGACTGTGATGAGCTGGTGCTGCTGCAGCCTGTCATTCCCCTCTTCGTCCTGAGTGAGCTTCAGCACAGGCCGGAATCTCCCAACGGCCAAAATGCAGGCCTGAGGAGGGTTGATCACTGCAGTAAATTCACTGATGCCAAACATGCCCAAGTTGGAAATACTAGAGGAAACAAAAAGCTCTGAAGGTGGCAGGCTGTCAATCAAAGACGACTTTCCCCAAGCATATATTTTTACTTTACTAAAAACTGTGCTACAAACCTTATACCAAGTCATCCAAAGACCAAAGACTAAAGACTGGTACTTACAATACTATAAAATTGTGTACCAAATACTGAGACACATACAAATATTATATCTAATATAAGCACCTATTCAGTATTGAACTGGAAGTTGTAGGCAGTGGCATATGGCAAGAAAAAGAAATGTAAGGTGCAAAGGCTAAAAAAATAAATAAATCTGTCATTATTCACAGATAAACTGATTGTATACATAGAAAATTTATGACTCTACAGATAAACTAGTCAGATTAATAAGTGAATTTAGCTAAGCCACTACATAAAAGGTCAATATAAAAATTCATTTTATATCTATATATATGTTGCTGTAATTAAAAAATAAAACTTAAGAACACTATCAGTTATAATAATATAAAAAATATCAAGGAATAAATCTAATGAAACATTTATAAGACTTCTATACAGAAAATTACAAAACATAACTGAAAGAAGTAAAAAGGCTGAGATAAACAATGGTTTATGTCACATTCATTGACTGGAAGACTCAATGCTGTAAAGAAGTCTTTTTTCAAGCTAAAGTCAGATAAAGTACCTGTTGAAGTCTTGTGTCCATTTTTTTTTAAATCCTCACCTGAGGACATTTTTCCATATTTTGTTCAGACAGAGTGAGAGGGAGAGAGAGAAAAACATCGACGTGAAAGGGACACATCGAGTGGTCGCCACCCGCACAACCCAACCAGGGCTTGGGACAAACCACAACTGAGGTACGTGCCCTTAGCGGGTACCGAACCTGGGTCTCTCTGGACCGCAGGCTGACGCTCTAACCACTGAGCCAAACTGGCCAGGGCTTGTGTCCATTTTTAAAAATAATTTGCAGGAGTTCTTATTTACAGATGCATAGACCTTTGATTTTGATTGCAATCCCAGTAAAAATCTCAGCAATATTTGGTATCAGACAAATGACAAGTTGATTCTAAAGTTTAAAATACACAGAACCAAGAAAGACAATCTCAAGGGTGAACGAAACTGGCAGACTTTCACTACTGACATCAAAAGTTATACCTTGGTGGTACTGAGCAAGGGGTAGACACAGGCCAATTGAACAGAAGAAAGATCACAGAAACAGACTGAACACATACATGTCACCTTCTCGATACTGTGAAGAAGCAGTAACCTTTTCAATATACGACACTGAGTAAACATAATATCCATAGGAGGAAAAAGAGAATTTGACCTGATTTCAGATAGATTATGATCTATATGCGAAAAGTTATAAAGTTTCTAGAAGATAACGCTGAAGAATAACTTCATGACTCTTCAGGCAATAATTCCTAACAGAAAACAAAGTCCAACTATAAAAAAAAAAAACACAAAAAAACGCTAATGAATACAACTTCATTAAAATTAAGAAATTCTGTTTGTTAAAAAAACACCATCAAGAAAGTTGCAAAGACAAGGCACAGAGTGGAAAAAGTTACTTGAAATAACGTGTAGCCTACAAAGGTCTATGTGTCTGTAAATAAGAACTCCTGCAAATCATTTTTAAAAATAGACACAAGACTTTAACAGGTACTTTATCTGATGAGTTGTTACCAGATACCCCTATGGCTGACAGAAAAATGAGAACAGCTTTCAACATCATCAGTTTGCATTTCCCTAATCACAAAAAGTACCACTGAATACTCCAAGAATTGTTAAAATTTAAAACCTAACATTACTAACAGGAATTCTCATACACTGTTAAGTATAAATTTGTATAACCATTTTAGAAAATTGTTTGGCGGTACCTAGTAAAGCTTTTAACCCAGAAATTCTACTTTCAGTGTATACAATGAAAACACGAACAAGATACTGGCAATATGTTCACAGCACCATTATTTGTAATAGCACCACACTAACCACCACAAATGCCCCACAGTAACATGGCTACTGGTAAATCACAGAGCACACTGCAGAATACTGGACACGATAACAGGAGTGATGACTTCAGACAGCAACATGGTGAATCTCACAGATATCAATGCTGATGAAAGAAGCCAGACACTAAGAAGGCATACTTATATAATCAAAGCCAGCGAAACAAATCCATGGTGATGATTTGGGAACAGTGGTTACCTTGAAGGGGTAATTCTTAGGAAGGGTAGAGGGAGTACATCCTGCTTTGGTTGATTACACCAGTTTTTTTATTTTGTAAAACATTCAAGCTACACTCAGTGCACTTTATTGTGTGTAAGTTGCACTTAAAGAAAAATAGAGCTGAAAATAACTGCAGGGTCTAAGTGTTAATATCCCCTTCCCCCAAGTACTTTAAAAATAAAAGAGATCACAAGTAGAAAAAAAATAGTTGAGGTTTATAAATCTCTTGTATTTATATATATTTTTGAATATCAAAAACAAACTCTGAATATCATTCTATGAACATCTGAATGCGTTAACTAGTTAACCCTAAAGGGTTTCTACTAGATACAAAAATCTGATTTGTCTGAAGAATATTTTCACATAACCTACTATCTAAATACAGTATGTGAAATTTAGCTTAACTTAAGAACGTTTCAGAAAATAAATAAAACAGGTTAACATGGACTTCAAGTTTAATATCTGTTTGATGATACGGATACTTGAGAGTTTAAATTTTACCTGAAAGATCCTCCTTGGTATTCTTCAGGTAACAATTTTCCATCTCGTGCTTTCTTTGACAGAACCTGAGAAAATACAACCTGTGTCAAGCAACACAGCATTATACACAGCACAGGGTAACTGTCACCTGAAATATTTGAACAGCATGCAGTCTCCCTCTGAAATGCTTTGCTCTGACTTTATAAGATGTATATATAATTTTCTCTACAAAAATTTTTAAAATGAACAAGATAGAATACAGATAATCTAAAGAAGCAAATCAAAACTCTAGAAAAATCGCTTTCCTTTAAAAATCCTTCAAATACTGTGCACCACTACTATGCAGGAAGTTTCAGTATTTCGATTTTGTCTATAAAATTGTTTCTTGTAACATAAAATATTAGACGCAGCCGTTCTTGTCAATCTAATACTTTAAATAAACTATGCAGTGGCAACAAACCCGCAACCAACACATCAGTTTTCATCTTGCAGTGTTTGCCTCTTTTTTACTCGTAACACATATAATTCCAGCCGGCTGTTAAAAAGCCCCAGAACTTTGTTTCACTTTTCAACGTTATAAGCATCTTCTGGGTTGCTAAGTCTTTATAAATGACTTTTTAATGTCTGCTTAACATTCTAAAGACTCATCTGCCAGCATTACTTAGTCATTTCCCCAGTGTCATCATTTGGTTCACTGGTTTCTTTTGAATGATTTCATATAAATTCTCAGAAGTGAAATTACTAAGCCCAGAAAATGAACATTACTGGTTCTTGATCCTACAGCTGAAGCATTTCCTGAATGAGATAGTCCAATTTACGCTGCCACAAAGAATGTAAGAAAGTAGTAATTTTATATCATTCTTGACAATACTAATGTCTACAAACTTAGAGAGGGAAAGAGAGACGACACCCTGAGAGTAAGTTTAAGAAAAGTTGTTATATTTTCCTCTACTTGTAGTTAACAACACACTTCTGTTAATTTTTATTTTTCAGTGCTTCCAAGCAAGGAAGCAGAGGTTGAGTCATTACATATGAAAAATTAATAATGAATTACTTTATGAGGAGAAGGATAGATAATATAATTCCTGGGCTTACTTAATGTTCTGTATTATATAGCTAACATAAGTACGATTACAACCATCGTTAGTAACTATTTAATTTGAAACTATAGATGATTTCAATTTTAAAAACTAAAACATCCTGTAAAAATCTAAAAACGATCTCAATGTATCACTATGACTTAATGCAATAGAAAAAACTGTGAATTTATATTCTTTGGATAGTTACTTATGAAGCTATTTGAAACCAAAATGAAAAATCAGGAGAGAGACTTAGACTTGGAATATCAGAAGTAGAGAACACTCTGCGATGTATTTTTCCTGCGTAAGCAGTACAAGTTTCACATGATCTCAACAGGCATACATCACGTGGCCCTGAAAGGCACGTCTTTGAAGGCAGATGCTCTCCTCATATCCTGATGAGCTACCGCACCAACACAAATTAAAAGCACATTCATCTAAAAACTAGGTTGCAAGCACACATAATACACTTCAAAAAAAAATCTCTGTAGACTCTAAATACATCAGCAGGATATTCCTATCAATGAACTCTAAGAATCTAAAGTAAAAATAGAATGCGAGGAGGATCACTGGTTCTAAAAATTCCTAAAGAATCCTCACTGGATTTTCCTGGCAATGTGAAAATGTGAACTTAAAATCAAAGCAGGTGCCCGGCCGGTGTGGCTCAGCGGTTGAACATCGACCCATGCACCAAGAGGTCGCTGGTTTGATGCCCGGTCAGGGCACATGCCAGGTTGTGGGCCAAATCCCCAGTGGGGGGCATGCAGGAGGTGGCTCATCGATGTTCTCTCTCATCGATGTTTCTATCTCTCTCCCTCTCCCTTTTTCTCTCTGAAGTCAATAAGAAAAAAAAATTCATAAAAAAATAAAAATCAAAGCAGGTGTTACCTGAAGCATCCAGCTGAAAGGATATAATACAGGGTGACCAGCAAACATTTCGAAAATATATCACCTTATTCATTCATTCAAAAAGTATACTAGGTACTAATGAGGTAAACTTTACCCCTGCCTTTTAAAACTGCTCTAATTAATAAAGAATTAAGAACAGTGTGGGATCTAGGGCTCATTACTATATTATTCCATTTAGGAAGTACAAACCTGAACTTGGCCGAGACATGCCTTTTAGCACCACACACTGATATCCTTGGGATTAATGAGGGTCAAGAAGTAAACACTTAGTGCAGGTGTTCTTTTTTTTTTTTAATCCTCACCTGAGGACATTTGTGCATTTATCTTCAGATAGAGCAGGGAGGGAGAGAGGGAGAAAGAGAGAGAGAGAAACATCGACGTGAGAGAGACACATCGACAGGCTGCCACCCACACGACCCCAACAGGAGCCAGGGACAAATTGCAACTGAGGTACGTGCCCTTAGTGGGAACCGAACCCAGGACTCTCTGGTTCACAGGCTGATGCTCTAACCACTGAGTGGAACCGGGCAGGGCTTAAGTTTACTGGTCTTTTTTTTTCAGTGCAGGTGTTCTCGACCAGAGGTCCACAGAGGCATTTCCAGGGACCTACAAACTCCTTGGAAAGTTAATTTCAGTAACAGTTTTTATTGAAAATATTAAAATATTCATTGAGCTACAACTATGTCTTCTGAGCACTCTTCTAGAATTGGATACATAGCAATGAACAAGAGTGAATGTGAGGTAGGAGGGAACATAAAGGGTCAACAAATAAGGCAACGTTAAAGACTGAAGAACGTAGGAAGACAATAAAACAGGGCAATGCACGAAGCTATTTGAGCTACAGAAGCCAAAGAAGGCCTAAGGAAGTGACGTCCGAAGTGAGAAATGCCTGGATTTAAAGAAATCCCCACTTCCACTGCTTCCTAAATGTATCACCTTGGGCAAATTTCTTAAAGTGTTTAACTCAGTTTCCTCCATTTTAAAATGGAAAAGTTTAGGTTCCAATTATACTAATGGGCTAAGAGGTTACATGAAATGCTTAGCCTAGTGTCTGGCGTATCCTAAGAACAAGAGAGTGGAATGTGGCTCACAGACAGCAGGGTGGGAGACAGAAGCAGGCAGAATGAGAAGTACAGGCAAGCAGCCAGAGCAAGGGAACCCTCAGAGCCACTGGGATCACAGGGAGTGCTCGAAGACTCCCAGAGGGCCTGGGATACTGCAGAGGGTGAGCCTGCCCTTCCATCACGGAGGATGGTGACACTGCTTCCTTACCATCTGAACTCTGATGCTAACATAGCTGCTTTAAGAACTAGCAGTTAGCCTAGCTGGTGTGGCTCAGTGGCTGAGCGTTGACCCATGCACCAAGAGGTCACCAGTTCGATTCCCCGTCAGGGCATATGCCCAGGCTGAGGGTAAAATCCCCAGTGGGGGGCATGCAGGCGACAGCCAATCGATGTTCTCTCTCATCGATGATTCTCTCTCTCCTGCCCCCTTCCCCTCTCTCTGAAATCAATAAAGAAAAAATATTAAAAATAAAATAAAAATTAAAACACACTCTGCAAATCTTTTCAAAGACAAGTGAAGAAGGACTTTAAAATAACAGTTCTTACAAGGTCATCTTTAATTACATCTAACTCACAGATTCCAAGAGGACAATTTTTAAAAAATGTATTTTTTTATTGATATTTTAGAGAGAGTAAGGATGGGAGAGAGAGAGAGGGAGAGAGGGGGAGAGAGAGAGAGAGAGAGAGAGAGAGAAACATTGATGTGAGAGAGGAACATCACCTGGCTGCCTCCTGCATGCTCCCTACTGGGGATTAAGCCCAAAACCCAGGCATGTGCCCTGATCAGGAATTGAACCAGGACCTCTCAGTCCATGGGAGAGTGGTTCAATCCACTGAGCCATACTGGCTGGGCCCTAGAGGATACTTTTTAAACTAGATTGCCTTGTATTCATTTACTTATTATTGAGCCTACTTTATCTGTAGATTATTTCTGAAATTTGAATATTAAATTTTCTTGAAATGGGTTGTACCTGCGCCTTGGTTGGGTGGCTCAGTTGGTTGGAGCATCATCCTGTACACCAAAAGGTTGCAGGTTTGATTGCCAGTCAGGGAATATATCTAGGCGCAGGTTCAATCCCTGGTTGGGGCATGTATGGAAGGCAACCAATCAATGTTCCTCTCACCATTCTCTCTCTCTCACTTCTCTCTCTCCCTCCCCACTTCCTCTCTCTCTAAAATCGATAAAATCATATCTTCAAATTAGGATTCAAAAAATAATAAAAATAAATAAATAGGTCATACCTGGATAAAAACTTAAAATTCCATACATACAAACAACAATCACTTAGAAATACATACACACTATATATATAAATATATATAATTATATGGATAGATGTGTATTATATCAACCACAGGGTGACCAGACCATGTCAACACTGTATCAGAGAGTAAATTCCAACACTTGGAAAGCACAGTATTACTGAAGGTGTACCTTCACAGAGTCAGCAATTTCCTGTATACCCTTCGCAGCAGCATCTTTTATGATCGGTGTAATTAAACCTTTATCAGTTGCCACAGCCACTGAAATGTCAATAAAGGGCAGTTGCTTTGGGCCCTCTCCATCCCAGCTTACATTAACACTTGGCATTTGCTAGAAAACAGAAACAGAAAAACATGTTACTAAAGAAGCAGCTTTAGAACAAGGTGATTATAGACAAATAACTAACATTATTATCCATATTTAAAAGTAAATATAGCTAGACAGAAGGAAATAAAAAATTGGTTTAAAAAATGGTTTGGATCGCTGTGTTAAATATTTTTTATTTATATTTGCGACGAATAATTCAGCATACCATCTTTTTGAAGCAACCTTGAGGAAATTCTGATGATGTATATACTTTGATCTCTTTATTATCATGGTTAAAAAAAGGCTCCCTTTGTTAAACCTGATGGCTAGAAAGTACTTAATGTTTGTCAGACTTCCTGCCCCAACGTCTGACCAACAGGACCTTCAGAAGAAAGAGAGGGAAGCGTGTAGTGACATTCATCCCCATTCTTCCTGTGGCCCAAAGACCGCCTGACTTTCTAGCACAGCCTGGAAGATATCAGCAGGCCATTCATACATGACTTCCTTATTTAAGAGAGATTTTCTAGCTGTATAAACATATGATATGTCCTACAGGTGAGCCTGTATATAGTTAATATACATACAACTACACTGAGGATGAAAAACCAGATGAAATGATTAACTGCCTGGAAACGATGTGAACTGGTATGTTGTCAAATGTCATAGCAGAAAATGATGCTGAAAAATAGACATCAAAAACAAATTTCTCGCCCTGGCCGGTTTGGCTCAGCGGTTAGAGCGTCGGCCTGCGGTCCAGAGAGTCCCAGGTTCGGTTCCCGCTAAGGGCATGTACCTCGGTTGCAGTTTGTCCCCGGCCCTGGTCGGTCGTGTGGGTGGCAGCCACTCGATGTGTCCCTTTCGCGTCGATGTTTCTCTCTGTCTCTCTCTGTTCCTCTCTCTCCCTCCCACTCTACCTGAGCAAAAGATGGAAAAATGTCCTCGAGTGAGGATAAAAACAAAACCAAAAAACAAATTTCTCTTCTCAAAAATTCTGTGCTTTCTACAGAATAAGATCCATACCTCTCCACATGTAACCACAGCCAACCACAATGATTCCACCCCCCGGCCTAATCTGCCTGACCACGGCCCAGGTGAGCCCCCACCTCCCTCGGGCTCTCCCGGCCACGCTGCGCTCGTGCCCATTTCATCATTTAAGTGCTCTTTTCACTTCGCCATCTCCCAAGGCTCAGCTCGCTCATGCACTGATGCCACCGTGTCAAAACCATAAACAGTGACGTCCCAACCTCTTAGAAGATTTTAAGTTCTTTGGAGATAATGGTAAAGCAAAAGAGGAAAAAAAAAAATAAACCTCACAAATTAAGAATATTTGGCAAATAAATTTAGTTAGAAAGCTGTGTAACAAAAACCTATGGGACATAAACTAAATTGTACTCAAATAATCTAAATAATCTTATTATAAAAGATAATTAATGATAAATTACATAGTCAAGTTTTCTAACAAAATATCTCTAACCTAAGGAAATAAAGGAATACATAATAAAACAATATAAAAGCAGTGAGAATATAAATATGCAATAATAAAAGCGAGACAGAGTTCAGAAAACCCTCAAGCATTGAGGACATAAACATAATTATAAGCAAATTTAAGTGACTCTAGGCTAATACATTTGGGAATCTAGGCAAAATAAATGATTTTCTGCAAATATATAAGTTTCTAAAACTGATTCAAGAAAAAGCTAAAAATTAAACAGCTCAGTAATTATGGAGAAACAATGAGAAAGTTGCCAACACTCCCTTCTCAAAATAGAACTCAGACATTTTTATGGCTAATTCTATAAAACTTCAAGAAATAAAAATCTTGCCCTGGCCGGTTTGGCTCAGCGGTTGGAGCGTCGGCCTGTGGTACAGAGAGACCCGGGTTCGGTTCCCGCTAAGGGCACGTACCTCGGTTGCAGTTTGTCCCCGGCCCTGGTTGGTCGTGCGGGTGGCAGCCACTCGATGTGTCCCTTCACGTCGATGTTTCTCTCTCTCTCTCTTCCTCTCTCTCCCTCCCGCTCTATCTGAACAAAAAATGGAAAAATGTCCTCAGGTGAGGATAAAAAAAAAAAAAAAAAAAAAGAAATAAAAATCTTTACAATATTAAAACAATCACAGAGAAAGGAAATGAAAAAAAATACCCAAGTCCATTTTGAAGCCATTGATTAAAAAAAGGAAAAGCCTGAAAAAGCTAGCATAAAATTACAATTACAATTACTATGGCTCTTGATATAAAATTATGAAATGAAATACTGACAAGTAGCTAATGATCACTTAAGAAGGGCAAGAATAACTCATATAGAAAATCAGTAATAATTCAAAATATTATTTGGTCAAAAGACGTATGTACATTTAGATATGAACAGCTGAACAGGCATGCCTATAAATTCTCAATTATTTAACTGTTCAAGAAATAAAAATAAATTATTTATAAACATACTTTAATATAGCACTTACTAAGCAGCGACATAGAAAAGCAGCCTCGTCCGTGCACAGGAGGCAGGCAGGGTAGGAAAGCAGCCTGGTCCGTGCACAGGAGGCAGGCAGGGTAGGAAAGCAGCCTGGTCCGTGCACAGGAGGCAGGCAGGGTAGGAAAGCAGCCTGGTCCGTGCACAGGAGGCAGGCAGGGTAGGAAAGCAGCCTCGCTCGTGCACAGGAGGCAGGCAGGGTAGGAAAGCAGCCTCGCTCGTGCACAGGAGGCAGGCAGGGTAGGAAAGCAGCCTGGTCCGTGCACAGGAGGCAGGCAGGGTAGGAAAGCAGCCTCGTCCGTGCACAGGAGGCAGGCAGGGTAGGAGAGCAGCCTCGTCTGTGCACAGGAGGCAGGCAGGGTAGGAGAGCAGCCTGGTCCGTGCACAGGAGGCAGGCAGGGTAGGAAAGCAGCCTGGTCCGTGCACAGGAGGCAGGCAGGGTAGGAAAGCAGCCTCGTCTGTGCACAGGAGGCAGGCAGGGTAGGAAAGGGTGCAGAGTCACAAGTAAGGAACACTGGCTTTTACATCTCTAGTCAGACCACCTGCCTTCCTGCGACCACCACTGGGACACTATTAGGGTTCTCCAACTTAATACACGTGTCCAGAATCAAACTAGAGATTCCCTGCTTCAAACCTGCTTCTCTCCCATTTTCCCAATCTTGGTACATGGGAAACTCCATGCCTCCCTTCGCTTGGGCTCAAATCCTCGCTCTTCTTTCCCTCATCCAATCCATTAGCAAGTCCTGCTGGCCCTACTTTTAAATGTAACCAAAATCTACACCACCGCAGCTTCCCTGCTACCACCTGAGTCCAAACCAGTGCGACCGTGTCCAGCCTCCTGGGAGACCGCGCTGCTTCCACCTTGCCTCTCAACAGGCTCTATTCCACACGGCACCCACAGCAGTCCCTTCTTTTTCTGTTTTAAGTGTGACTCATATCAGCTCACCCTTTGCTTAAAACCCTCCAAAGGCTTCTTTCTCTTTCATAATAAAATCCCTAATCCTTATCATGGCCTCCCTCGACTCCACCCTCTTTGAGAACATTTCAAGCTCATCTCCTACCCTGTGCTCTTGCTAACTCCACTCGAGGCACACCTGATCCTCAGCGCCAGGGCTGAATGACACGACCCACTCCTCACAGGCTTTGTGCTGCTGTTCCCTGTCAGGAATGATTTCTAGCACACACCTACTTGGCTCACTCCCTCTCTCTGTGCTGGCCTTGTCTGAATCATCACTTGTCAGAGAGGCCGTCCTCTTGGAAATAACTCCCCTTGTTATTCAGTCCCCACACCATGCTTTCTCACCTCAGCGTCTTCACTATCTGATGTTTAGTATCTGTCTGTCTCTCCCAACCAGAGCGCAAGCCCCATGCGAACAGAACATATACAGGCTTTTGTTCACTACCATATTTCTAATGTCTGAAATGTATGTGGCACAAGACAGGGGATCAATTAGTATTTGCTGAAGAAGTGGTCTTTATTCTGCTATAATTACTTAGTTGCAAGCCCTTTCAATTCTCAGATTCTTCATCTATAAAACTGAGAAAGATTAAATGATAGAACGATTTTAGTAAAAACATTATAAAATGTTTGAGACTTAAAAATAAGAATTCTATCATATAAAAATTCAAAGTAAGACTACTTTAGATGCCAAAATTTTGGGGGTCTGCTACTTACTTTCAGGGTAACAGCTGCTGCCTTGATGATAAAATCATTTACTGACACTTTAATGTCATCTGGAAGAAAAACAAGCATATTAAAATCAAGGTTCATAATAAACTTTCACATTGACAATTACGATTTCACACTTGGAAATTATGGGCTACAATGACAAAAAAAAATAACAGGTGTTTGTTTGTTTGCTTATTCAATAAGGTTCTGCTAATCAGAAAAACTTGCATTAAATGAGGTCCTGGACAAATAGTATTAACCATGAATATAAAAGTTTATTCTGAGCCTTGATTATAATTCTTTTAAATTTCTCAGATATCACACACAAAAACTTGAAGGATACATTACAACCTCAATCAGAAAGAAAAGAATTAACTCCTATGTCTCCAAAGAGACAAATGGTCTCTCTGTGACGTATATAAACAGAAAATTTGTAAGATGATTCCTTTTTTATCCTTTTCAGATGTCCTTATATTGTGCATGCTTTATAATATACTGATTAATATTAGAACTGTGATACATGTAGTCACTTTAAAAATACAAATATATATCTGGGGGAGATTCAAAAATTTCTTTTTACTAATGGGGTATCTAAAACAAAAATTAAATAAGATCTGCATTTTAACTTAACAAAACATTATATAGCACATGCCAAAGATGAGGCAATGTTGGTATAGGTCCTAGTGTAATAAGTGAGATTTTCTGTCTAGTTTTATGGTGAATCCATTTGAATTCATTTCCTCCCAGTATATACATGATGATTTTAAGATAAAGCTGAGGTCCTTTCCCTCCCTAGTGGGTATGTGTTGAAAAATGTAAACTACACTTGATTTTTTTATTGAAAGAGCTTCCAGAAGACTTTAAGATCAAGATCTAGTCAATGGTATGTGGCAGGAATCACAAATCCTGTTATAGGAGTGTCATGGAATTTCGTATGAACAAAAGCTCATTCCAAAGGCATGCTGAGGATTTCAGAAAGAGATTAGATGAATTACCATAAATATAAATACTGCCAAACTGTCATGGTAACTCAGCTGCTCATTTAATTCATAGCTCTTCTAATTCAGATTTCCAGAAACACACATTTTTTGTTTCTTTAAAATCCCTTCAGGAATAGAAATAAAAATGGATTCTCTGTGCTTAGACTTTTAATGATAACCCATATAAAACACTTGGTGTGCACAAATTCAAATACGTGGACATAATCTTTTATGTACTCATCATTACCTCTCATGGCCCCTGGGCTTCCTTCGCACTTTATCTACTACGTGTCCACAGTGAAGACTTCCAAAACCACCAACCAGCTGATAGTTTCCAACCTACTGCCCAAGTCCACAGTCCTCACCTAAATTCCCGCCTCAATCATACTCCAACATGTAGTATTCTTTGGTTAAATACTTTTTCCAGCTACTCTCTCTTACTGGCTTCGTCACTATATTCTCTTCCAGTTTCCTTCCAATCTCTGTCATTCACTTGTTTTCAGTTTCTTCCTCTGAATGCTGGCATGTCTCCAGGGGAGAAGTTTCAGCTCCATAGTTTTGCTATCATTTATATGACAATTCCTCCAAATTCTACCTCTAATCCTGATGTATTTGGACCTTCAGATTTATAAATCCAATTTGTCACATGACATTTCTACCTATATTTGTAATAGAAGTCTCAAACCTGACATGTACAAAGAAGATTTTTTCAAGTCCCTTTATTTTTACTCATTGTTACAGCAAGTGTCAAGCACACAGAAAGAAGACAGTGACGTTTGTTGAGAAGAAGAGAGTAGAAAATTGTGAGGGAATATCGAACATACTCATTTGCAAATCGGTACAAAAGAAAGTGTGGAACATGCCTATAGAATGTTATACATTATAACCTTACATAAAAAAGAGGAGTGGAGATACACAGGATACATAGATAATGTGGGCTCTTTGAAGACTTACCACAAAGTGTCTAATTGCAAGGACATATAAAACTAGATCCTGCAAAGATTCTACACACTAATCTACATTGCCACGGAAATTGTACTCTTTTCTGCCTCAAGAAAGGAGCCGGGAAAATTATTCTCATAGTAACCTCTGTACCATACCTAAACAAGTATGACTTGAGACCTAAGGGGAGCTTCCAGTGTTAACTTTTTAAATATCAATCACTTTCTCTGGAATAACTTTGCGTTTGGTTCTTTAAACTTTTAAAAGCTGTCAGGTTATCTTCATATGTAATTTTGAAAGTCTGTGCCCCATCCAATAGGGTAGGAGAAAATGCAGGATAAAGTACAAAATCCTAACTTTCATGAGCACACTGGGGAGCTGAGGTCACCAAGCAAACAGGTAAGATGAGTGTCAAGGAGTGACGGTCCCCTTCAAGGAGAAACCAGCACAGTAAGTGGTCGACCACTGTCAGAGTGCGGGGCGATGGGCATGAGCAGCTGGGGAATGTCAGTGGAGAGATGGAGATGATAAAGACATCTAAATGGATACACAGGGGGAACCACATTATGTCAAAGATAAATAAATTTTTTTTTGTCAAGCTTCACAGACTTAACACAGCAGAGGAAAGGTCAGAAAATGAAACCAGATTGGTTTGTTAAAGCAAATCACATTATGCATATATTCTGGGGCTTAAATTATATGCAAAAGTAAAACATGAAAATAATAGTATAAAGAACAAGAGGAAGAAAATGTAGTGAAATTGTTGTAAGGTTCTTCCATTAAATGTGAAGTAGTGTAATACATATTTGAAGGCAGACTGTGGCAAGTTGAATTATACAGGGGTGGGCAAAAGTAGGTTTACAGTTGCTCGTATGGCAAAAGACATGCAGGTTATAATTATAATAATACAAGAATAAACTCTGTTTCACATACTCACAACTATAAACCTACTTTTACCAATCCCATATTGTTAACTTCTTTCTAACGAAATCGAGAGAGAGAAGAAAACTGAGAGAAATAAAATGGGATTTTTAAAAAGTAATTAATCTAAAGGAGGCAAATAAAACAGAAAAAACAGGAACAAGAGATGGAACAAAAAGGGACAAAATGGTACAAAGGACAACAAATAATACAAAGGAAAAACAAAGAACAAATTCATTAAATGTGAATGATTTAAACACCTTAAATAAAAGACAGAGATTGTAGGACTGGATAAAAAAGCAAGAACCAACTATATGCTGTCTCCAAAAAACCAGTTTGAATATAAAGATACAGATACATTAAAAGTAAAAAAAAAAATGTGAAAGGATATAATATAAAAACACTAATCTGAGAAAGCTGGAGTGCTTATATCAATATTAGATAAAGAAGGTTTGAGGACAATAAATATTACACCAGGAACATTACATGGCAGGTCTAATCATTAAAAACCCTAAAATCCTAAATGAATATGTATGTGCCTAATAAACAGAACTTCAAAATACATGAAACAAAAACTGACAGAACCAAAAGGAGAAACAGACAAACCCACAATTACAACTGAGGATTTTTAATGCTTTTCTTTCAATAACTGATAGAACAAATAGATAAAATATCAGTAAGGACAAAAAGAACACCATCAACCGTCACTTATAGAACACTTCTCAAAACAAAAGTAGAACATACATTCTCTTTAAGTACTCATGAACTATTCACCAAGCTTGACCCTATTATGACTATAAAATAAATCTCAACAAATTTTAGAAGATTTAAATCATACAAACTGTGTTCTCTAAACACAATGGAGTTAAACTAGAAATCATACAGAAAGATAACAGAAAAGTCCCCAAATACTTGGAAATCAAACTGACATGTCTAAATAATTCATGGGTGAAAAAAAGAAATCACAAGTGAAATTAGAAAATATCTTGCGTTAAATGAAAAGGAAAATAAAAATGTCAGAATTTGTGGGATACAGTTAAGCACCACTTACAGAGAACTTAAAAATATTATATGCTTATGTTAGGAATAAACAAAGTTTATTATATTGATTTCAGTTTTCACTTAAGAAATTAGAAGAAGGGAAACAAATTAAACCAAAGCAATGCAAAGAAAATAATAGATTAGAGCAGAAATCAATGAAAACAAAATTACAGAAACAATACAATTGATTAAATCAAATACTGGCTCTTTGAAGAGATCAATAAAACTGATAAACCTCTAGCCAGAAGAAAGTTAGAAGACACAAATTACTAATATCGAAAATGGGGACATCACTTTAGATTACATAGATGTCAGAAGTACCATAAGGTAATATATGAATGACTTTATTCCAATAAACCAATTAGTTAGATGACATAAACAAATTCTTTGGAAGACACAAACTACCAAAACTCATTCAAGAAGAAACCGATAACTTGTATCTATTTTAAAAAATAAATTTGAGTTAAAAATCTTCCCATATAAAAACAAAAGACAAAAACAAACCAGAGGCCTAAGTAGCCTCACTGCTAAATTCTACCAAACAATTCGAAATAAAACCAGTTCTATCCCAAATCTTCCAGAAAATAATGGAGGAAAAAAATTTCCTAATTCATTCTATGAAATCTAATAACAAACCCAGAATAAAAATCTCAACAGAAGAAAACTACAGGTCAGAATTTCTAAAAATCTCAACAGAAGAAAACTACAGGTCCATAGGTGTAAAGATCCTCAGCAAAATTTTAGAAAATGGAACCAAGCAATTATGAGAAAATTAATGATTAAATGAGTTTTAGTCACTTGGTATAAGTAATTACTCAAAATTCACCATATTAACAGACAGGAAAAGGAAAGATTTATCTCAAAAGATACCCAAAAAGCATTTGACAAAATTCACCATCCATCCAAATGTGAATTTCTTTAGCCTGAAAAAGAAAATCTACAAAAACTTCTAACATTAAAGACTGCATATTTTCTCCCAAGAACAAGAACAAGGCAATAATAGCTACGTTTACTACTTATATTCATCACTGTAACAGAGGTTCCCAACAGTGCAATAAGGCAAGAAAATGAAATAAAAGCCAAATAAATTGGAAAGAAAGAAATGATATATCAGTTTATGCTAAAAATTCTTATTTCTCTCAGCAACTTTAGTTTTAATTGAGTTTGGGGAGGATCATTACACATTTAATAATCTAAAATGCACTTTGAAGAAGAAATTAAAAAATTAAAACCTGTATCAAGAAGAGTGATATCTAAGACATATTTATAATCTAAAACATTCTTAAATTAGCTTTGGATTTTATACTTCCTTTTTTTTTTTTAATCCTCATCCGAGGACATTTTTCCATTTTTTGTACAGACAGTGTGGGAGAAAAAGAGAGGAAGAGAGAGAGAGGGAAACATCGACGTGAAAGGGACACATCGAGTGGCTGCCACCCGCACGACCAACCAGGGCCGGGGACAAACTGCAACCAAGGTACATGCCCTTAGCGGGAACCGAACCCGGGTCTCTCCGGACCGCAGGCGGACGCTCTAACCGCTGAGCCAAACCGGCCAGGGCGGATTTTATACTTTCTAAAATGCTAAGGACTGCTTTGTTCAGGTATCATACCAAAAAGTATGATTTATTCAATACTATGAAACCAATTTATTTCTTATAGGAAAAGAGAACCAATTATTTTCTCTAGCACTAAAATATCCCCAGATGATGAAACTGAAATAAAAAGCTACACATTGTGCATTTTATAAATAAAGCATTTCATGATAGTTAGCATATGTACTGCATTTAGTAAATTCAACTTTACTAACCTTTGACCAGACTTTGTCTAACTTTTAAAACAGCTCCAACATCACAATCAGCAGTAATATATGCATGAGGTACAGTACTTTTAGATTCAGTTAACCTCTTGGCAATAACTCTTCGAATATTGCTAGCTGGGATTTCAGTGAATGTGCCCTGCAAAGAAAAATCTGTCCATTAAACCATAAATGAAAGGGGAAAAAAATAAACTTCATAACAGAAATCAGCTCTCAGTTACTTATGATAATAATTAAAGATTAATACAGAAAAAGTACTATTAAAAATTTGCAGTTTCCTGGCTGGTGTGGCTCAGTTGGTTGGAGTGCTGTCCTGTACACCAAAAGGTGGTGAGCTCAATTCCCAGTAAAGGCACATACCCAGGTGATAGGTTCAATCCCTGGTTGGGGCATGTGCAGGAGGCAACCAAGTGATGTTTCTCTCTCACATCCATGTTTCTCTCTCTCTTCCCTTCCCTCTCTTTAAGATTAAAAAAAAAAAAAAAGTCTTAGTATAAGGAAGAATGTAAGAAGCCTGAGGAGTTTCAACATTATAGTATAAAATGGTAGAAAAAAGTTCATAGTATATGACTGAAAGAAAATGTGGAAAAATTCAAGTTTCAGTTATGAAAGGGACTTCTTATGTTACTATGTCTAAGATGATTTGAAAAAAATCTAACAAATCATGAATAATTCCTCATGATGTGTGTGCACGCACATGAACGCACACACACCAGAAATACCACCTATAAGCAATTTTTGTTATAAACATCATTTCTTAATAACACTCAAAGTTGCCAATAAATCAACACACCAACTACAAGCAATTCTTACTTATAAAAATGACATAAAGTAGAAAAAGATAATCCGATACACTGAATAATCTATAAAATTTTTTTCTACTTCAGTTTATCATTTTTAAAATCACGAGTACTTTATTTCCTAGAAATTCAAAATATAAAGTATGAATGAGATAATAAAATTGTCCTGTAACATTATTATTGTAGCTTTTCCATTGTGTTCCTTGAACTTCTAACAAAAGCATGATGGACCTTAAATTACATCTAATTCCTTCCTTGTACTTTATGTCATTCTGGGACTGGGTTACAATCATTCCAGGATAATACAAAGAAGCATTTTAACAAATACTCTCTTACAGAATGAAACATTTTAAGTTCAAGTACTTGATCAAATAGAAAAAAATGCTCTCTACATACCATGAGAATCTGAAAGTAAGGTTTATTTTCCTAATTTGAATAACTTATTTTTTAAAGAAATAAGATTTGATGACACATAAACTTTTTGTATATGAAGTCATAAATCTATAATGCATAGTAAAAAAATCTGTTTCCTGTGAAACTTGTACTGTTTTCAATTCCTTGAAAATATTATATTAAAACATATTTCTCCATTAGAAAAAAGTGTAGTTTGTCTCTATTTTTTACTCTTTAGGTGCCCATTCAATTTTAAATAAACCTGATTATCCACATTCTTTCTGAGGGGAAGGAAATGAATGGCATGAAGCCAGGAAAGAAAGACAGAGCGGCAGAGTGGAGGGACTTGAAAACAGAAAAGGCCTGCTGTACTGCATACACCTCAGAAGTAAAACGTGAGGAACTCCGTAATTCTCCATAGTGAGACTATCAATTTCCTTAATCAAAAAACAAAACATGTCCACAAAAGGGAGCCACTGTTTGCTACCAATTATTAGTACCACCCCCAAGAAAAAAGACATGAAAACAATCATGATTATAGAGCGTATATATGGTACCGAAGTTGTGAAACTTGTAGTAAATATAAAGTGAATCATAATTCTAATGTTCCTTTCAGAAGTTAACACTGGACAAGTACATTTGGTTTGTGCTAGGAAATCTGCAAAACAAAGCATTTGGAGAGTGTTGTATTTATCACTTTTAGCTGCTACTAAAATAGATTGCTAAAAGTACTTGTAGCCCTGGCCGGTTTGGCTCAGCGGTTAGAGCATCAGCCTGTGGCCCAGAGAGACCCAGGTTCAGTTCCCGCTAAGGGGTGACATCGGTTGCAGTTTGTCCCCAGCCCTGGATGGGTCGTGCGGATGGCAACCACTTGATGTGTCCCTTTCATGTTGATGTTTCTCTCTCTCTCTCTTCCTCTCTCTCCCTCCCACTCTATCCGAACAAAAAACAGAAAAATGTCCTCGGGTGAGTATTAAAAAAAATAAATAAAAGTACTTATAAAACATATAGTAATGGTGCTTATTTTCTCTCCCACTTAAATCTGAAAAGTAAAAATCTACTCAGATGACATTACCACTGCATTAGGTTGTCCAGGTGTTGACATGGGTGGGATCATTGGCCGGGGATAAGATGGCTTGGCTGGGGCCTGTGAGGGCAAAGGTGTAGTGGGAGTTACTGGAGGGGTGGGGGTTGGTCTGGATTCCGTGATCTTGCCCATCTGTTTCAGCTGAACAAGCTTGAGAGCGTCCCTGGAGATAAGAGGGAATTAGATAACCATGATTAGCAACAAGAACTATAATAAAAGTTTTAGAAAATGGAGATGAGATGTGGAAGGAAGATACAGAAATATATGTATGTCAAGGCTATAATGCATAATGAATTACTTGAGCTAGATAAGTGAATCTTGTCTCTTACCTGGTCTGATGATTCATATTATTTGTCCAATGGCTACAATATTTATATATTTTCAAAAATAAAATAACAAAATTTTATCAAAGTATTGGGTGTATGCCCGGCTGGTGTGGCTCAGTGGACTGAATGTCTTCCCATGGATTGAGAGGTCCTGGTTCGATTCCTGATCTGGGCACATGCCTGAGTTTCAGGCTCAATCCCCAGTGAGGGGCGTGTAGGAGGCAGCCAAGTGATAGTTTTCTCTCACATCAGTGTTTCTATCTCCCTCTCCCTTCCTCTCTCTCTAAAAAAATCAATAAAAACATATATACATATAAAAACAGGACTGGGTGTAGACAGTTATTTTAAAAAAAAAGAAATTAGTCTTTTTTCTTGGGGGGTTATCATTTGGAAGATAAGCAATCCATAAATTGAACCACACCCTCATTCTTCATATTTGTGAAGTAATTTTCACATGGCATTCGGAAATTATGAAGTTTATTGCACTTATGTCTTTCATTAGGATATTTACTAAATCACTGTTTAGTGTAAATTACCTTGTTTACGGCCAGGAAATCATACCATTGTTAATTTTTCTCAATATGCTATCAGCACAACTTAATGTAATAAACCTAACCCACAACATCATTTGAAATAAAAAATAACTAAACTAGTAATAAACTTGCCTTTGTATTACTCTGTAAAATAAAGGTATCTTTGTTTTTTCAAAGGATGTAGTGAGATTACTAAATATGTCAAGCCTTCAATTCATATAAATAAGCATATTGCTTTAAAACATTAACTTAATTTGGAAATTTTAACATTACTGCCAACAGAAATTTGGCACATACAACTACAGCAACCTTATACTGGGGTCACATGCCTATCTGACTAATCCTTGTCTCTCACTAGAATAAGTTTCAGTAGAGCAGGGACTGTTTTAATACACTCTTGAAAGACACAAAATTTAAACAAACGGGAAGACACATCAGTGTTTTCGAAAAGACTCAACATCATAAAGATGCCAGTTCTTTCTAAGTTAATTTAAAACGTGACATAATCCCAATAAAAACACCATGGAAATCTGCAATCCCGTCAAACCCTGCCAGTGGGGCTAGATGAATTGTTTAAAATTCAGTTGGAAGAATTATGAGTGTGGTACTAAAAATGTATAGACAAAATAGAAAAGAAAATCTAACAAGAGACTCAACTAAATCTGGAAATTACTTTGATCATATAAATGAATAAAATCCACACAGATAAGAATAAAATTGTTTTTAAAAGTATATTTCCATATTTTAGAAATTTAAATGTGAATGCATGTTTATTTCATACAAACTTAAACAATACAAAGTTTCAATACTCTACACTCTAATTTTCTGCATTTATCACCATTTCTAAGGATCTGGCTTAGCTACCAAATTAGAACTGTTCATTAGTAATGCTGCAATTATTCAGAAAACAACCCTTGCATAGAATACAATTTTATAGAGACAAAAGCAATTAAAAATACAAAAGAACAGTGTACTTTTTTTTAAATCTTAACACTGAATAAGCTCCTCTTTAAATACTTTCAGAAAAAAACGATCATCATAAATAATGAAATTGGTTATTACGAAAAGCACACACATACTCTTTAGTGAAGATGCCCCGAGGACCAGTGGCTGTGCCTTGGCTAGCATCCAGTGTGTGTTTTTCCAAAATATTACGGGCAGCTGGACTTAAGCGGAACCTAAAAAGAAAACATGAAGATTAGTGGAATCAATTAACACTCACATTTGATTGAAATAGATCTTAACATCAACATTTTTGCTGATAATTAAAAAAATAAAAACATAAAGCAAAAATAGATTAATTTGCACTAATCTGGTTTCTATTACTATCAAAAGATTTTCATATAAATTGAACTAGTTACTATTTCAAAATATACTTTTAAAAAGAATAAATATTGCCTGGCCGGTGTGGCTCAGTGGTTGAGCATCGACCCATGCACCAAGAGGTCCGATTCCCAGTCAGGGCACATGCCCAGGTTGTGGGCCTGATCCCTAAGTTGGGGGCATGCAGGAGGCTGCCAATCAATGTTCTCTCTCATCGATGTTTCTATCTCTTTCTCCCTCTCCCTTCCTCTCACTCTAAAAGTTAATAAAGAAAAATAAATAAATAAAAAAAAGAGTATATATTCATAAGGAGAAAGCTTCTATTTTTCACATGGCTCATCACACAGATAAATAGGAACTAACTATAATGTTCCTTCCTCTTTTTTGTGATAATATATTTAAAATTTACCATTTGAAGCATTTTAGGTATATACTGACTGACATTAAGTACAACCACAGGGTTGTGCAACTATCACCACCATCCACCTCCAGAACCTTCTCATCTTCCCAAACGGAAACTCTGCTGTTAAACAGTAATTCCTCGTTCCTCCCCCTTACCCCCAGCCCCTGGCAACCATCGTTCTACTCTGTCTTTACCACTCTGACTACTCCAGATAGCCCATGTAAGTGGTCATCATACAGTATTTGTCCTTTTGTGACTGGCTTCTTTTACTCAACATAACTGTCTTCGAGGTTCATCTAGGTGGTGCTGTGTGTCAGCACCTCCTTCCTTTTTCAAGGCTGAGTGACATTCCATTGCATGCATACAGCACGTTTTGGACACATGCATTGTTTCCACCTTTTGACTATCCTAAGCAATGCTTTTACAACATGGGTAACAAATATCACTTTGAGTCCCTGTTTTCAATTCTTTTGAGTATATACATAGAAGAGGAACGGCTGTATCACGAATAATTCAATTTTTAATTTTGAACTGCTAAACTGTTTCCCCCAGTGAGTGACTGTACCATTTTACATTCTTACCAACAATGCTTAAGAGTTCTAATTTCTCTACATCCTCGTCAACACTAGTAATTTTCCTTTTTTTTTTTTTAAATAATAGCCATTCTAATGAGTGTGAAGTGGTATCTCATTGTAGTTTTGATTTGCAATTCCCTAATAATTATTGATACTAGACATGTTTACTGGCCATTTGTATATCTTCTTTGGAAGAAATGTATACTTGAGTCCTTTGCCTATTGTGGTTAGGCTGTTGTTGTGGTTGAATTGTATCTTTCACGTATTTGCTCAAGCCCTTCGTAGTTACTTGAAAGCATTTATCACCTTACATACACTCCAGAAGAGTGAGCGAGGCAAAAACAGTTACGCTGATTCTAGAGACAGGGCAACTGGGGCACTCTTCAGTGGAGGCCTTTAAGCGTAGCAGCAAACACAGGCAGATACAGAAAACCAGAGAGGTGGGCCAGTCCAGCGTGCATGACTCAGAAATGAAGAGGGACAGATGTGGCATGTACTGCACTTCCGGCTCCGGCCACCAAGTCTTCACTGGAAGCTCCCATTCGTATGTAAGGTCGACAGTAAGCAATCAATTCAAAACGTTTTAAAAAAGGAAAAGCACTGTGTGGGCCAACACTGGGCAGGTTCACAGCAGGTTGTTACCCTGCACATGGGGCCTGTCCGTCTCTAATGAGGGATCGTAGGGAAGGCTGAGCACACAGGATCATCTTGGCCGGGGGGAAGAGCACTGGGTACAAGACAGCGCTGAGCCTGCCTTCTGATGTTCATGGTCGGAAAGAGAAAATAATGGGCGGTTAAGACAATGGAGTCAGAAATCCTGTGATATCGGGAATTTAAAACTCAGTATTTCAAAAACACTGATTTTTTTCCTGACAATTACTGACAATGGTCAAGAAAAAAATACTAAAAACTGAAAGGGCCTGCAATTTTAAGTTCAAACGTGTTCTTAGGACTTTTTTTTTTTTATAAATAACTTTTTCCTATAAAGTAATTTTGTATTCTGGAGAATATTAACTAAATGAAACTTGTTAGAATTTTCAGAGCCTACCAAGTAAACCTATGTAAAACTAAAGTAGAACAATGTTTACTAAGAATCTGTTGTTTCAGAACAACTAGACAAAACTGAGCGCTAAGCTGTCTCAAACTCAAAAGCAGAAGAGCTGGAAAAGGGACGCGTGTCAAAACACTAACTTCACGATCAGTTACACATTTAAAACTGGTATTCATATTACAGTAATTGGAACCCATGAATGGGAACACAATATGAAGTTTTATACACCGAATTCCACTTCCACTCTGGAATCCTAAAACGCCATTCAAGCTCAGTGTGGACACAGACTGTTCTGTTCCCCAGGGGTGTGCAGGGCTTTCCGAGTACCTGCGACACAGCAGACATTCAATAACTGTTCGTTGAATGAACAATGATGGTAAAAGAACTTATTCCTAAATCTCAGTTTCCTAAGAGGAAAAAAGGGAATGTCAACAACAACCTATTTAATGTACAGAGATGTTTTAAATACTATAATGATTAAAATATTCTAGAAGTTGCCATACCTTTTTTTTTTTTAACATCATCACTCAAATAATCATACTCACTGCAGTTTCCCCGGAGTGCGTTCCTTTTGGACAGGGACAGAACTTGGTGGCACTGGGGAGGGACGAGGCACTGCCGGTGGCGAAGTGGCTGCTGGAGGACCTACATCTTTGGGAATTTCGACGTTCTTCCAATCTTCTCCTTCTTCAACTAGCAAACCAATTAGTGAACCTAGCCGTATATTTTTAGATCCTTCTTCAACCTATATTTTAAAAAGAAAATAACTGTAGAGATGGAAACGCTCATGACCTCATGAAGTAGTTTATTCCTTTGTTGGATTATTCTGTACAGGTTAGAAAGATGGCTTAATTTGAGCTAAAATCTGTTTCCAAGACAGCCTGCCACCTCCTCTAACTCACCGCCTTCTTTGCCTGCCTTCTCCCACTTGTACCTTCCTTTACCACTTCCCCTCCCAGTTACTAATGCTATCTCCTGAAATCAGGGGAAAATCGAGACTCTCCCTTCTTTCTAACAGCATTTGAATGTATGACATATTTATGACCATCTTCCTTCTGATGTCAATCAGTACAAATCCAAAACAGAAGACCGAGGTTACATATCTCAACTATCTGTCTTCCCTAGAGTTCTATACAACGGCTTAGGTAATTCTAAGAACTCATAAGAAAGTAATTCCCCCAAATAGGTCCTATTTACTTTACAAAATTAATTTAAAGAAAAATATTTTCAGTATGCTTAATCTAGAAAAAAAGACCATTCCGCTGTATAGACGGAACTGGTCAACTACTCTGGTTAATGTTAAATGTAGTTCCCACCTTTCTCTATACATCTATTTACAAACCTGAGACATAAAATAAACGGCACGCATGTTTCATAAGTACATCAGAAACATGGTGGTGTCTCAGCTAAAAGTATAAATAAGACTGAATATAAAGCTTAAGATAAATATATTTTGTGTTTCAGTAGTATTTATTTTTAAAAGATTGATTCTTATTTACTTATTGAAAAAGAGTCCCTAGAGAACCTTCAGATGACAATATTTTATAAGTTCAGTAGTAGAATAAAATGTCATTCCTTTAAAATTTTCCATTATTCCCTTTCAATTACTTTAAATAAGGTTCATTACAGATATAATTTAACGAATAATTAAATGACAGGTGGCAGGATGTTCACTAATATAGTAATTATAAGTAAAAGCATAACCCCTAGAATGAGGCTGACATTCCTGAGCGACACTAATTTTGCTGCTGATTAGCATGTGCACTGTTCCTAAAATAACAAGGCCTACGTTTGGGAGCAAGGCGGCTTTCTAATTTACTAACTGCTGATGGAGAAGAAATGGAACAACGCTTTGATAAACTAAAAAATATGTAAGAAATTGGTATTCATAACTCAGTAAGGACATTTAAGGAATTGCAAGCTGTGGAAAAATACTAAAAAGCCCAAGAACATTTCTTTTTTTTTTAGTTCTCTGTATCACATAGTAAATAGTTTTACTCCTTTGGACTACTCATTTGCCCTCACTACATCAAAAAGATGAGTTAAGATTACTGTTAGGTTAACATTTCTTCCTCTTCTAAAAATGTCTATCTGCTTATGAACTGCTAACTCAAAACCACAAAGTAAAATGACTAATATTCCTAAAACTTGATAGAAAAAAGCACTAAGTGATATACAGTCCACTTGATGTTAATTCCTATCAAAATTGAACCAGAAATAGGATCAATATCCAAGTACAAAGAATATCCAATGCAAAGCATACTTTAATAAATAAAAAAGTATTGGAAAATATCAACAGATTTCTGAAATCTGAATCAGAAACTATATTAACCCTGAAACTGACGCCACACTGTTTTATTTACAACAGTCACATAACTGATTCCCGTGCACAGCCTAGGAGCGAAGCCTTCACATGCGGGCCACGAGCTTCCAGTGTCACTTCCACTGCTATCACATCTAAAGGTCAAACAGAATTATTTCTTACTCACATTTTTTCCCCATTCAAGATGACAGTATGAAGCATGATACCCAAATATAATGGACAAGCGTATACTACCACACAATTTGAATATACAACAGAAGTTAAAATAATGTCTATTACAGTTCCATTTAAAGTCATAAAAAAAATTGCTAAATGAAATTAAGTTCATTTCTCTGTCTTTCTTTATTCCCTTAGAAATAAGAGATCTTTTAGAGGTGTGCTAGTTTCCTGTAGACAAGTTTGCTTATGTTGGAGTTAGCAAATATTTAAAAGTGGTGTAGACTTAGTGACAGAAGAGTAAATAATGCTCTTTCCAAGTAGTGTTTAGAAACCAAACAAGGGAGCCTTTGTGGCTGCCCCTCGGGGCTGGCAGGGCGGATGTGCTCAACTCTGCAGCAGCATTTGGAGTTTGAGGACAATGCAAATACCCAGTTCTTTTCCCAGGCACCTGGCTTACCTGATCAAAATCCTCTCCTACTCTTGCGCCACTGATCCCTTAATATGAAATGCAGGACTTTTATACTTGGTATAAAACTGCTGATTAATGCTGAATTATTGGATCTGGAATCTGTCACTCAATGTATTGGCCTCCCCTCCCATCTTTTGTAGACTTCCTTGGTTTTCAGTCTGGCTACTACCTACTAGTTAAGGGACCTTAATAAAGTTCATCTCACCATAACTATTTCTTCATCTGTAACGGAAATAATAATAGTAGCTACTCATAGAGTTGTATGAGGAATAAATGAGTTTGATACAAAACACAAAAGAGTGTCAGACATCTAGTAACCACTACCTAAATGTAAAAGGTCTTACAATTATTTATTATTATTATTGTGGTGTTGGTAGTTTCCTCCAAGTTACTGATTTTTAAAACAAAAAATATATTCAACATGGATCAAGACAGGACTACAGATGGGTGTCTCTTGGTAGAGGTTGGAAATTGATGGCTTAAGGCCCAGCATAAAATAGGCTAGAAGTACTGGAGAGTAAATAGCAACATATGAGATAATAGATGTTCTTCCACAATACTCATACAGAGGCTGAATTCTATCCCAAGACATAAACCCCCAGTAAGGGGCCTCTTTACCAAAGACATCTCCAAAGGCTGACATAAGTCACCTGCAAAGGTGCAAAAATTAGCCACCTAAGCTCATCCGTGTACCAAAAGATAGAGATGAAGTCAAGAGACAAAATAACTCCAGCAGTATTTCCCAACAGGGAAACTGTTTGAGGGGTTCATTCCATTTAAGTGCTGGTAAATATACTGTTTTGATTTTGACATTAAAAAATAATCAGTATGGCCCTGGCCGGTTTGGCTCAGCAGTTAGAGCGTCGACCTGCGGTCCAGAGAGACCCGGGTTCGGTTCCCGCTAAGGGCACATACCTCGGTTGCAGTTTGTCCCCGGCCCTGGTTGGGGTTTTGAGGGAGGCGGCCACTCGATGTGTCCCTTTCATGTAGATGTTTCTCTCTCTCTCTCTCTCTCTCTCTCTCTCTCTCTCTCTCTCTCTCTTCCTTTCTCTCCCTCCCACTCTATCTGAACAAAAAATAAGAAAATGCCCTCAGGTATGGATTAAATTTAAAATAATGTAGATTAAAAAAAAATCAGTATGTTAGACAATTAAATATTTTTTGATTTAAAAGTAGAACAGTTAAGAGCTGCTAAGTGAGTACTGAGAAGCAAGCACAGTGATTAGTGGAGATACTCTGAATAATCAGACTGACCTACTTGGTTTGAAAACTTAGTAAAGATTTTTCACCAGGGTTTTGAACCATTATACAGTTTTCAACTGTTTTTATTCTTTAATATATACTGATTAACTTATATGCACAATAGACTTGGGTTTAAAAGAAAGAAATATAAGCTAAAAACAAAGCAATGACAAGATGAGGTAAAGGCAGAGGGGCAGAAGAAAGGTTCAAGTCCTTGAAAAATAGTTTGTCTGGCATTCAAGTGCCAGGCTCTGTTCTAGCACAGTATTAACTCATTCAATTCTCCTAATAATTTTATGAGGTTAAGTGCTATTATTATTCCTATTTCCAGATGGGGAAACTGAGGCATAACAATGTTAAATGTTCACGATCACAAGGGTATCAGATATGGAGCCAGGATTCAAATGCTGTCTGGCATGAGATGCATTCAATTCGATCAGTACCAAATCTGTGAACTGCATTCACATGATCAAAATTACCATACAGCGCTCAGGACAGTGCTACCATTTTTTAAAACAGGCTTAGAAGAGAAGATAATCAAGTACAGTGATACCTCGGTTCTCGAACGCCTCGGTTTTCGACCAAATCGGTATTCGACCAGGAGATTCGAGAAACTTTTGTCTCGGAATCCGAACAAATATTTGGAACTCGAACTTCCGAGATGAGCCGAGTCGAGCCGAATGGCGTTCATTCGGCCCAGCGCGCCTTGCTTGCGTCATCAGTGTGAGTGCAGAGAGTCACGCTTTGTGGAGTCACGCTTTCCTATTGGTTTCATTGCTTCGGTTCTCGAACAATTCGGTTCTCGACCGTCCTCCTGGAACGAATTATGTTCGAGAACCGAGGTATCACTGTATATTATAATAAATTTTGCTTTTAATTCTTGGGGAATATAGATTCATTTACCATTTCAATGTCATTTATCCATTCCAATCAGAAAAAAATAGAACTTCCGTTTACAGTCGTCCCCCGGCGCTTCGACTTTCGCAGCTTCACCCTTTCGCGGTTTGTTCAAATATATTCAGTAAAAAGTTGATCAAGACGGTGAAAATGATACAGTGAGCGCTCAGTTATCTGAGTCAATTGTACACCCCTGCATTACAATTACAATTACAATTAAATTACTGTATGCTTGGACTGTAGGTCTATGTGTTCGAGCACCCCAGGAATCCTTCAACGCCAGGTGCAACTGCTAGAGCCAGGAACGGATTATTAACCACAATAAACGAGGGACGACTGTAATAGAATTTGTTCTGAGCTTTAAGAGGGCATTTTCTCAATTAAAAATATTAGTCCAGCCCTGGCTGATCTGGCTCAGCAGTTAGAGTGTCGGCCCGCGGACCAGAGAGACCCGGGTTCGGTTCCCGCTAAGGGCACATGCCTTGGTTGCGGTTTGTCCCCAACCCTGGTTGGGTCGTGCAGGTGGCAGCCACCTGATGTGTCCCTTTCACGTAGATGTTTTTCTCTCTCCCTCCCACTCTATCTGAACAGAAAGTTGAAAAATGTCCTCAGATGAGGATCAAAAAAAAAAAAAAAAATTAAATGTTCAGGCTTAGGCTGGCTGTGCATTCTTTAGGCAAATATTTCTGTTTTGTTTTGTTTTTTAAGCAAGCCATGTAAAAAATGAAAAAGGTGATATATACATAAATAACGTAGGGGATCAGAAAGCAGTTTGTCCCCAGTTCTGGTTGGGGTCGTGTGGGTGCCAACCATTCGATATGTCTCTCTTACATTGATGTTTCTCTCTCTCTCTTCCTCCCTCTCCCCTTCCCGCTTTATCTGAAGATCAATGCAAAAATGTCCTCGAATGAGGATTTAAAAAATATATATATTAGTACACAGAGAACAATTAATTGAAACTCTCATGAGTTCAAATTTCAACCATAAACTTTCAAACTATAAAAGGCAACTTTGAAGGCAATTGTGGGAATGTAATAAAAAAAATAAGGGAGGAGTACCTAACAAGAAAATAAAACCATCTTGAAAAAAAAATCTTTAGAAAACACCATTGACATAGTATTAGAATGAAATACAGCTAAGAAATTGATTGAAGTCAATCTCTAATAAACTCTCTAAATATGTCCTCCTAATATTCTTATTTTATTACTTTATCATTTAAAACACCTGCCATCCAATTTGCTGAATAATAAATATAAGCCTAAGAACTAATGTGTGTGTAATAATTTAAGGTTTTCTGCTCAACAATTTACTAGTGATTAGATGAGAATGTAAGTTTCCCATTAACAAAACTAAATTGGAAATAAATCATAACATTATCTAAACTGACAGAAAATACTCTTTATTAACATTATTAAGAACTTCTAAGCTTTTTTCCTGGTTCTAGTTGAAGTTTAATAATATTATTTCACATTTAAAATGAAATTCAGATGCAAAAATTATGAGTGAATACAAAGAAAATAATGAAATTGGGGTGAGGGGGATGCAAAAACCCCTCAAAAGCTGTGAAAATAAATCCTTGTGAATAGTAAAATAGGTTATAATTTATAATCCTTTAAAAAATATAGACAAACTTAAAAACTAGACTTTTATATAGTATCTTAACTGTAACAAGCTCAATTATCCAGTTCCTTGATTCTGAAAGTAAAATCTCATTTATGTATTCCTATAAAAATAATTTTTCTATTTATGCTGATATGATAATTGTTCCACAATGAAAGACAAAGGTATAATTTGCTTTTGTAGGGTTGTGGGGGTTGGGAATGGAGTGGGATGAAAGACTAAAAAAAAAAACAATCCACAAACCAGTAATACCACCTCAATTTTTTTTCCCATTATCCCCCTTAAAATTGCATACATTGTGACATTAATATACTCCCATTCCTATTACCTAAAAAGCATGTGAAATAATAATAAAGCCCTAAAATATACATACAATCTTTTCTCTGGCAAGAAAATTGCTATTTGTGCCACTAAAGCTGCTATCAATCATATCCCCCACCGCTTTCCAGAGCATTAGGGGCCAGAGGAATAGGCACTACTGACCTATGGCATTGTTGGCAATGTGAAATGCACTACTAAGCAGCTAACTGGGAAATGCTGTCAATTCTGGAAGGCTTTCATAGCCAAGCAATCCAGATAATGTGGGGCCAGGAACACAGCTTGCCAAAAGCACACACAATAAAATGTAGCTGTGTTTATTACATATGGTAATTCAAACGACTTTTTTCTTTTTCGAAATGCTGCATAAATTAGTCAAAGAAACTATTTTGGGTACAAATATTTATATTTTTGAAGCCTACAATCTTAGCTGCTACATAATATATTTATATTCAGTTATAAAGGTAAAGAAACTTTAGCCTTCAATTTCCTCCAAGGAAGCATTTCCAACAATGTGTTTTACATGGCTATTAATATTGTAGATGACAAGTAAAGGAAGTTTGCCAAATTAGAATATAAAGAATAAAATATAAACAACTAGAAAAAAGGGATAGAGGATTTTCTAGTAAGAAACACAAATGAAAACTGTGTAAATATCTACATCTAATTAGAGTATAACATTTCAAAGCGTGATCTTTGGATAGAATATACAAAGGAAGGCATTATATCCATGCTCAAAGCAGTGGTGAGCTGGAATTTCAGAATTAAAAACGCATCAACAAGGGACCTCTAAAAGATGTGCAGCTTATCTGTACAAATTAAACTATAGAAGCATAAATAGATACTTATCATCTAGTCACAAACGACCATTGCAATTTATTAGACAAACATGCAGAAAGCATGGGATCTCATAGTCACCAAGAGCCGAGTGAATAATTATAATAATGATGGGAAGAAAGGCAACATTTATCAGCAGATGGTGGGTGACAGGTCTTGTGATGAGTGCATACGTATTCTCCCATTTAATCTCCACTATTACCCCATGACGCAGGTATTATTATCTCTTTTATTATGAAAAGGCAGAGGAAGTTAAAGAATTTGCCGATCATTACATAATGAATAACTGGTACAACTTATTAGCTGTATGAGTCAGGCAGTGTGACTCCACAGCCTACAACCTTAGCTGCTACCATGCTGTATACTAAAAGCTCTAGGAGTTAAGAAACAAACATGTACCATCAATGAATGTACAATGTAACCCTCAATAGTCATTTTAATTTACTTTTTAATATTCCATTTAAATAATAGAATTATAGAAAGTTCAGAAAATACAGGAAAAATGGGGAAGGAAGATCACTTGGTTCCACTTCCCAAAGACAAACACTCAACATTTTCGTAACATTTTATTCTTTGCTATACTTATGTTTTTTCTTATAGTCCTACAAGGCTGTAATCACTATACAATCTTGTATACAATTTTAAAACCATTTCCCAACAAGTTTTTGAATATTTATTAATGTGTACTATATAAAAAAATCACATTTTTCCTGGAAATACTTTTTAAAGTCTACATGATATTTCACATTTTCTTCTGTTGTTTAAGTAACCTCTGTTATATTACTACACATTTTGTTTAAAGGGCTGTACTAACTTCAGTTTCTAGTAAAACCACTCGAGTATCCAAGATGTAGCTCCGTATTTTAAATTAATTAAAAAGTAGATGCCCAGAGGGCTTTCAAAATGACCATGACAAGGAGAAAATTCTGAGGTGTCCTACATTAAATACAGCAGGCCTGAGGGTGGAAGGACCAAGTTAAATACAGCAGGCCTGAGAGAAGGACCTCGAGATTATTGCAGCGCAAAACCAACAGAAGAACTGCTCACATTCCTGAGTGTACACTGAAACTGATTTAACTTCCAGGTGGCTATTTCCCGGATTATCTAAAGAGAATAGCCAAGGAACCTACCACCAGGTGCCTCCGCTTCTTGCGTAATTCTGGACCGTTGCCCACAATCAATCCAAAGGAACAAACACTTCTCCCTTAGGGACTCTGCACTTAATTCGGAACTTGCTCTTCTTGACCTTCTCCCACAGCCCATATAATTCTTTCAAAACAAAATACATATTTCTTCCCCAAACGGTTTGCCCTTCACTCCGGGACAGCTGCCATGTTGCCTTCTTCCTCTGCCCCTGCTGCTGGTGGTTCAGACTTCCTGCCCCAGGACCTGGTTCTTTTTCTGGCTAGCATTTGGCTCAACAAATCCTTTTTTTAGAAAAGGTTTTGGCCGGTAAATGTTTTTGTTTAACAACTGCATATATTAAATTTAGATCTAAAAGGAAATGACTGGTCTTGCTAGACCTACAAGCATATGTTCCATAAAAATGCTCATGGAACAGAAAATATACTATCAATAGAAAAGACTGTCAACTCAACTGTATTCGAGTATGTAAAATATTCTATACACACATTTTTATATAAATATAAATTTTAAATGATTATAAAAATGTCCAAATTGTAAGGATGAGTAAGAATAGAACCAGGCCAGTGAGTGTGGCTATGAAACCTATGGACAAGATGTCACAGGACATCTTAAAACAGTCTCGTCTAGAGAAAGCAGCTGAGCAGATAACTATGCATCTGCAGTCCTGGGAGTCCTGGGGAGCAACTAAGACAGAATTTCTTATTCTCCTGTGATGATAAAAACATTCCTTCTTTTTCTTTTTTATATTGCAGAGAGAGGAAGGAAGAGGGAGAGATAGATACACCAATGTGAGAGAGAAACATCTATCGGCTGCCTCCTGGCTACCCCCTACTGGAGATCAAGCCCAGTAACTCAGGAATGTGCCCTGACTGGGAATTGAACTGGGACCTCTGAGTTCATGGGACGATGCTCAATCCACCGAGCCACACCAGCCAGGATATTCCTTCTTTTTTATTCTACCAGTTATAAACTTTGAAATTACTAGTTCTAAGCTCTAACCTATTGCTTTCTTTGCCTTCAAATTCTGCTTCAAATAGCCTTCTCTCTTCCCTCAGGCCAGAATGCTTCTCGTTCTCCACTAGAAAATCCAAAACACTGAATAGCAGTGTTAAGGTTGAAACAGTTCTCTGTTATCTGATCATCACGGGCTATTATTAGCCCTTAACACTAAAATATTTTATACATCTGAATTTAAAATATACAGCAAATAATACAACACTATAAATAAAGAGGTAAAAATAAAAGGTAACTTTATTTCAAAGAACTTTACATTTAAGAAATCTTCATCTGTTGAAAACAAAATAAAAGCTTACCAGTATTTTGGCCAAGATGCCATCGTCACTTGCATCTAAGGTAACCACAGCTTTGTCAGTCTCTATTTCACATAAGGCATCTCCAGCACTCACAGCTTCACCTACAAAACAAGACTGGGTTTGTTTTGTTTTTTTACAATATGAATTTTGGTATGTGAGTTGGTATGTGTATATGTGTGTAAAATATGAATAATAAATATCAAAATATTCAGTAGCTATTTCTAGGCTGTGGAATTATAAGTAATTCTCATCATGCATGTATGTGTATGTTTGCATGTGTGTATGTATATATTTTGCTGTATTTTCCAAAAGCTCTATAATGGACATAAGGTAATAATTGTTATAACAAAAAAGCAAGTACAAAAATTAATGAGTAAATATTAAAAACAAAATCACATTTTAGAGACAACAGTAATGAATGCATATCCTCCTATGAACAAATCAATTCCAGACCCCACATTCCTGCCTTTATAATATCCTTTGACTCTTACTCCACAAAGAGAAAAGTTTTACAATTAATAGTACTTCTGGATTAACATCATAGGTTGAGTTCAGAAAACCTGTTGGCACCACAGAGCATAAATGAATAAAGCATATTAAGCAAAATGGGAGATAATCAAAGATACAATGAGGTCAAATAAACATTTCTATGCATCAGAAACAGTATGGAAACTCAAAAACGTTGAGCAGGAAGGACCTGACTTGCTGGTTTCTAGATCTTGAAGCAGATTGGGGGTAAAGTGTAGTAGTTTCTCTTAGAGTAAAGGAAACCAAAAGTGACCTCACGAAGCCAGGGGACTCAAATCAGATTCTCAACTTAAAGCGAGGGCTGTGTCAGGATTTCTTTACTCATAACAGGAGGCTGATGACATAGGCGACCAACACATACTGACCAGGACTACAACTTCAGTGAGAACTATGGATCTAGGAAGGTGGGGGAACAAAATCACTGCCTCCCTCAATACCAGGAACAGAGCCAAGCCACCCTCTGGCTCCAATACTACACTTGCTAATATCTCTAATATCAATAATAAAATCCCTGATTAGAGGGTGGGGGAGGGGAAGAGTAGGTGGGAAGACATTAAAACACAAACACCTTTCACTCAAAAGTAAACTACAAAGTTCCAAAACATATGAATAAATTTAATGCTAAGAAAGAAAAATCACAAAATCAATAATAGGAACAGAAATTCATTTCAGTATAATTCATTTAGTGAAACCTGCCAAAGATTTTAAAATAAGTATCTTGAGGACACTGAGAAATATAAATGAAAATCCATCACAAAAACAAAAGGCAGAAAAAACAATAATGTACAGAAATAAAATACTATCAGCTAGAACAAAAAACCTACTTAGAAATCTTGGAAATGAAAAATACTCAGTGAAATAAAAACAAACGATCAACAGGGCATATGGCAGATGAACACAGTGAAGTGAGCTGGTAAATTGCAGACAGCATTAAGAAACCACCTGGACTGAGCATTAGACATTAGACTGAGGGTGCAATGTTTGCTTACCGGAGTTCCAAGGGAAGAGACTGGAGGGAATGGTGGAGAAACAATACGTGAAAAGATAATGGCTGAGAACTTCTCAGAACTGAAGAGTCATGTACCCTCAAAATGAAAGAGTTCTGAATGAGTTTAGTTAGAATAATGGCTATTTATGGTGTATCGACTGGGAGGGGGCACAGGGAGTCTCACAGCGTGTTGGAAATGTTCTGTATCTTGATCTAGGTGGTGGTAGCCTGAGTGCATGTGTATGTAAAATTTAACTGAGCTTACTCTTTCTGGGAGTAATAACTTGATAAAATACAGTTCCACAGAACAGAGTATCAGACTGTATAAACACAAATCCACATCAGACACACTGTAGAGAAACTGCATACTACCAACAATAAGAAGACATCGTAAAAGCTTTCAGAGGAAAAAATCAGGTTACCTCAACGGAATGACAGACTGAGAGCACACTTCTCAGCAGCTGCTACAGAGATCAGAAGATAATGGAGAAACATCTTCAAAAAGCTGAGGAAAAATAACTGTCTAGAATTTTGTATGTAGCCAAACCATCATTTAAGAATGAAGGAAAAGCATTCTTTAGACATATAAAGGCTAAGAAAATTGACCACCTATTGATGAGTTATTACAAAATGCAGTTCATTAAGAAGAACAGTGGACACAGAGGCAGCCCATGGGCTACAAGAAACAATTAGAACAGAAACTGATAAAAATGTTAACTATTAATCATTCACAAGGTCATTTCTGAGTGTTTATAAAGGTGTAAAACTCAAACTCTAAAAAAGAATTACGGTGAATAGGGAATGTTCAGGGGATTGTTAAAGCATGCTAAGAACTTTGATATAAATAGGAGGAAAAAATACCCAATAATTCTAGACTTTATTGGCAACATTTAATTAAATATGTACCTTAACAACTTAATACACCAAAAAAATATTAAAAAATAGAAATATAATCTACAGTATTCAAAAAATCTGAGGAAACATAGAAAATAATAAAAACTAACATCCAATTGAAGGCAGACACATAACAAGAAAAACAGAAAATAATAAAAACAAACAAAAAAGGTAGAAATAAATCCAAAAGTATCAGTAATTGCAATAAATATAAATGGACTGAAGCCACCTACCAAAAGCAGACTATCAAAATGAATTATTTAAAAATCTGGGTAAATGTGGCTTATAACAGACAGACCTAAAACAAAAACAATAAAAAATAAGGGACAGAAAAATATGCAACATAACAGATACACCCCCCTCACAACCACCAAAAATAGTTGGTACAGCAATACTAACAGGCATACTCAGTAAAAGAACATGGAGGGAAATTTAAAATACTAAGATAACAAATATGCTCTGAAAGTACAGAAACTACTTCATTGTAAACAAGATTTTCACATAGATGGTTGCATATCTTTAGTTAAAACAGTTCAGAACCACCAATATATACTGTTTTAATGAAAGAAACAAACTTATCTGTTAGATAATATCTAGTGAACACAAAAAGAAAAGGTGCTTGTCTAACTCCAAAGAGATTTTTTTACTGAACAAATATTTATGGAAAACACATTAGGGCACCAAGGATACAGAAGTGGGGTGTGGGGGAGGAGTTCAGATTTCTGATCTCAAGAAGCTCATTTACTTTCCAGTGACAAGTTAATTGGAAACTACAGTAGCATTAAGTGAAGTCAGGATGCTACAGGAATATTCAGGATGGGCATCTAATTCAGTTTTGGGAAGGTGAAGGACATCTAATTTGAGCCTGAAAAGACAAGGAGGAGACAATAAAGGAAAGAGGCCGTGATCCAGGCAGAAGGCACAACATACCCAAAGTCCTGGGGACCAAAAAAAACTGGACACTTTGGAGGTTCTGCCTAATAGTACCTGAGAGAAGGGTTGAGATATTAAGATGGTGAGATAAGTAGGAATCAGACCAAAAAAGACTGTTCGTTACATGTCAAATAGAGAAAGCTACAGCACCAGATTATATAATCTTACTTCTTTATATGACAGATGCTTTAGTAGTTAAAATAGATTGTACTTCCAAAGGGGAAAAAAATCACACTTTTATATGTTTCTGCTGTAACCATGGAGAAAACAGTTGAAGTAGGCAACCTAGCAATTAAATACTTCTTCTAGACACCTAGAAAGGAAATTCTTGCCACAGAAAAAGACACAAAAAAAAGATGTTTTATCACTTGAGCTCATCTATTTCAAATTCCAAACATACTTAAAGAACAACCCACAAATTCAATTTCAGCCATAGGTCAACCTAGATGATTTTGCTCTTGTTCCCGAATTCTTATAATAGTTGTAATTTCCAATGAATCGGAAATTGCATTATAAAATGTTATGTTGCTACTATTAATGACTTTTTTAAAAGTTAGGGTTTCCTCTATTTACCAGACTATGAGCTTCTTCACAACAGGAACAGGACACATCTTAAGTATTTTATAATCTACCTCATTCCCCAGGCTAGTATCTCACAGATAATGAGTCTGAGATTAAAACACTTCAGAAAAAAATTGCAATAATTTCACACATCTTCATTTCCTCATAAGGTATACATCAAACTGTCAAATTTAAAACACCATATTATTACATAAGAGCAATATAGTCCCAATTTATCATGAAACTAAGGTTCTATCTATCAATTAATCAAACATAATGTAAATGTAAAAAAAAAAATTCTGAGACCAAATAATGAGCCATGGAGACTCCAGATATACTCAGTCTCAGCCTTGATCAACAATTTAGCACTATAATTTAGAAAAGTGCAAGGCAGAGCAGTTACAAGGAGCTCTTACAACTCAGACACAAGCGCTGACACTTACTAGTAATCTTGACCAAGATACTTAATCTCTATGACTCTCAGAAAAGTTTTGAATGTGCAGCTATATTTTAAAAAAAAATCACAGAACTGGAAATGTTAGGTGAACTCTTCACATACATCTTCAAATAACACTTTGCAACGTCTTTAGACAAAAATGTTAGGTATGTTACTAATAACCATTAAGAACTGAGACTCATTCTAGCTCCCTAGACCATACCCTGTATTTCAAACAGATCACTCAACAAATAGTAGTGTACAAGGCATTATACTAAGCAGTGGGTGTAAGTACAACCGTAAGATACAGTCTGTCTACGACAAGTTCATAGCTGAGAGGAGAAGACTAGGAAGCTAGGACAGCGCCATGGCTGGCGTGAGGTGACAGGCGGCTCCTCGGCTGCCTTGTTGACTGCTGACTGGTTGTAGAACGAGATGGCAGCCTTGCAGTGTCCCGTGCCAACTCCTTGTGGTGCAGACGAGGTGGAGCGGGCCTGGAGCGAGAGTGCGGGCCCCAGGAGGGGCCGAGCAGAGGCCCGCCCGGGGGCCGCTCCCCAGCACCGAAGCCAGCAGCATCATCCTGTTCCTGTCCCGATGGGCAGCTGCCAGAGCTGAGGAGTGGAGGATAGAGGCTTCCTTTTCTCTTTAGACATTCTGGGTATGAAGTATAGTCTTGATGAAACACAGTTAATGGTGGTGTTTAAGTTATTAACTAAACACATCCTGTGCCTTTCACAAAATAACTTTGTTCTGCCAAAAAT